TACAGTAACTTTACTAAAAAACTGTGACATATTTGCTTTGGAACAAACTGGAAACGTACAGTAACTTTACTAAAAACTGTGAGATATTAGCTTTGGAACAAACTGGAAATGTACAGTAACTTTACTAAATACTGTGAGATATTAGCTTTGGAACAAACTGGAAATGTACAGTAACTTTACTAAATACTGTGAGATATTTGCTTTGAAACAAACTGGGTAATAATAACAGCGTCAGTATGGAACTTACCCACAGGTGCTACAAGATTTCTGGTTACCACGACCGGTACCTGCTCCTCCAAATGTAAACGCTGTAACAAGTCCTCCTGTTCCTCCTCTATGTCCACTTCGGTCGAAACTTCCACCAAGTCCTTTTCTTGCAAACGACTGTATTGCATCGGCAAAATCAACTCCTCCCCCAGAACTTCCAAGAGATGATAACCAGTCTAATCCTCCATAACCTCCCCCTGTTCCAAAGCCTCCACCTCCACCTGATCCAAAACCTCCCCCTGCTGCCCCTAATCCGTGGCCTCCTCCTGATCCAAAACCTCCACCTCCTCCTGATCCAAAACCTCCACCTGCTGCCCCTGATCCGTGGCCTCCTCCTGATCCAAACCCTCCACCTCCTCCTGATCCAAAACCTCCACCTGCTGCCCCTAATCCGTGGCCTCCTGATTTCAACCCTCCACCTGCTCCCCCTGATCCAAAGCCTCCGCCTCCCCCTGATCCATACCCACCACCACTACCAAGTCTTCTTCCTGACAAACCACCAGCACCAGCACCACCAAGTCTTCTACCTGTTAAACCACCACCAGAGAAGCTCCCACCACCACCACCACTACTTCCTCCTCCAGAAGAGAATGCAAATGCAGTACCTCCTCCACCCTTTCGTCCACTGAAAGTCCCCACAACTCCTTCGCCATCACGTGTTTTAAACGTTTTAAACGTTGAATGTCCATCCCCATGTTTACCAGCCCTTCCCAAACCTCCCCCAGAAGTTACTATTACACCCCCTCCTCCACCTTTTGAACTTTCATAATCAGCAGAAGGATTTTCCCACGAACAAACATCATGAAAGAGAATCATGAAGCTGACAAAAATCATCAAAAACTTTTCTTTGATACCCATTTCTCGTTCACTGTACCTGAAATAAAAAACGTCAGGTAAAACTCAGTACCTTATTTTATGAACGCTGACTAAACTATGATTTACTGTTTGTGGAATAAAAAAGAGCGTTGTTCGATTTTCTTTGAAAATTTGTATTTTTAGTAGAACGTTTATAAAACCCATCGATAACCTCATGTAATTTAAATTACATCCATCACAAAAAAATTATATTTTTGGGGGGGAGGGGGAATACTTAAGCGAATATACCTCTTATTCTAACACTACTACAAAATTATTGTTCTAAAAAAATAATAAACCATTAAGAATTAAATTTCGAGTGAGACATCATTAAATGAGAATCGTAGTTAAAATATACTTTTCAAAAGCCTTACTCTGTCGATAGTAGCTTCTAAACCTGTCAGTAAGTACGACAAATGTAAAATTTTTCCTGGACAACTATTTATAAGGTTTCCAGCGCATGTGTATATAAATATCACTGTAAGTCACGTGCACTTTCGTGGTTCGTATCCTGTTGAAATGAAAAAAGAGTGAAGCATAGTTGTAATGCTCCTGAGAAGTGGGTCTTCCCCAAATTCTCCGAAATACCTAAAATAAAAACGCAACGGTCTTCCATAAGATGAACTCATCACTCCACGATTAAACGTAATGTTTCTTTTCGTGTTCTTTAGGAACACTGATGTGTGGAGGGTTTTCCCGACTACCTATAGGGCCTTCTTCCTTTTAATACGCCAAAGGAAACGATCTATGACCTTGGTTTAACGTGGAAGAAAACCGGTTCGAATCTGTAGCTTTGGGTAAACCAGTGCTCTGTATATTTAACAGACTCTATGAAAGACTCCCCCCCTTTTTTTTAAAATAAAAACAAGTATCGTTAGAAAGTATTAGCCCGAAATAAAAACACCATATTCACATACTAACACATTCCTTGCTATTCATCTCACAGTCAACATCGATTAGGGGCAGAGTGGCTTCCTTTCTGTACAGAATAAACAACACATAAACGGTATGATGAATTACTTTCTTTACCTGTGAGTTCTAACGTCAAAAAAAGGCAAGTAGCACTTATAATGTCCCCTAAAGTGGATGTCCACGAAAAATAAAATCATGTCAACCCCCTTTCTGTCTCTAAATGTGCTCAGCCATAATGTCGAATTTATTGTTGGTGTTCCAAATAAGATGGTAACGTTTAAAGAGGTACCAAATTTGCATTTTCGACTTTTAACAAAACAACAAACAGACAAAGAGAGTAAGAAAGAGTACACATGTGAGTTAAATGTGTATTTACTTTATGTGTGTTTTTACACTGGAAATAACAAGGATGGAGTTGAACACGTTCTTACTCTGGGACAGTTCTTACACTGGAAA